GACCTAATTCTGCAGGAGTTTGGGTTCATCACAGTAAAGTTTTTGCCCCCGAATACCACTCCTCTCCTCCAGCCCATGGACCAGCATGTCATTTCAAACTTTAAAAAACTCTACACCAAGACAGTGTTTCAAAGGTGCTTTAATGTGACCTCAGACACTCACTTGACCCTAAGAGATTTTTGGAAAGAACACTTCAGTATCCTCCATTGCATAAGCCTTATAGGTAAGGCTTGGGAGGGAGTGACTACCAGGGCTTTGAACTCTGCATAGAGAAAATTGTGGCCAGATTGTGTCGACAAGAGGGATTTTGAAGGGTTTGTGGCTGACCCTGATAAGCCTATGTCAGTTGTGAACTCTATTGTGGCATTGGGGAGTTCCATGGGGTTGGATGTGAGTTTGGAGGTTGTGGAAGAGTTGGTGGAGGACCACAACGAAGAGCTAACCACTGAGGAGCTGCAAGAGCTTCATCAGGAACAGCAACAGATCGCAGCTCAGCATCTTGCTGCAGAGGAGAAGGAAGAGAAATAGAAGAAGGTGCCTTCTTCAGAAATTAAGGAGATTTTTGAAATGTGGGGTAGGATGGAAAGATTTATGGAGAAACATCACCCTGAGAAGGATGTTGCAAGCCATGTCGGCAACTTGTACAGTGACAGAGTCTTGGCCCATTTTAGGGAAGTTTTAAAGAGACGCCAGAAACAGAGCTCTCTGGACAGTTTTTTTACGAGACAGGACTCCAGTGACTCTCAAGCTAGTCCTAGTGGCATTAAGAATCAGGGAAGAGAAGTAACCCCAGAAAAGGACTTGGTACCTGAGGTGTTGATGGAAGGGGATTCCCCTTCCAAACAGTACCTAATCCAATCTCTCTTCTCCTCCAGTCTTCCATACACTAAGAAGAATTGCCAATAAAGGTAAGTGTTATGCTGTTAATGTTTCATTCATCATGTCCCATTGTATTGTTTATGTATTACATCTATATTTCATGTAAAAAAAATTTTTGTTTTAATATTTCTGGGTGTCAGGAACGGATTAATTGTATTTACATTATTTCTTATGGGGAAAATTGATTCGAAAATCGTCTATTTCAATAATCGTCGTACTTCCAGGAACGGATTAACGACGATAAACAAGGGACCACTTACACCAATAGTTCTAAGTCTTCTGATGGCATCGGATTCGCAGCAGTGTTTCCAGACAGTGTTGTGCGAGGGCATTTATTGCCCTCGGCTAACATTTTTACGACTGAATTGTATGCCATTCTTGTAGTACTTATCTGTATTGCATCTGTGCCTGTGTCACCATTTGTGGTCATTTCAGACTCCCTTAGTGCTTTACAGGCTATACGGAAATTTGATACACCTCACCCCCTAGTTCTTCGTATCCAACTTTGGTTACGCCGTATCTCTAGCAAACACAGAGATATTGTTTTTTGCTGGTTCTCTGGTCATGTTCATGTACAGGGCAATGAACAGGCAGACACTGCTGCATGGTCAGCAGTACATGACCTCCCAGTTTCAAATACAGGTGCTCCATTCACAGACTATTTTGCTGTAATTGCTGCCCATCTTCTCACCCGTTGGCAACAATGTTGGTCTGATCTGCTCCATAACAAACTTCATTCTGTTAAGCCAAGTATAGGTTTCTGGCCATCTTCTTGTCATCGGTGTCGAGGTTGGGAGACTACTCTCTCCCGGCTTCGCATTGGCCACGCTCGTCTTACTCACGGGTATCTCATGGAGAGGCATCCTGTTCCTCTCTGTGAGAATTGTCAAGTTCCAGTATCTGTTAGCCACATTCTGTTGGAATGCCCACTCTATCAACGAGCATGCAGAATTTACCTTCACCATCGTCTCCACTCTGCTGCCCTTTCCTTACCTTCCCTTCTTGCTGACCGACCCTCTTTTAATCTGGACTTTCTCATTGCCTTTTTGACAGCAACTGATTTACTACACAAACTCTGATGATGATGTCTCTAGCACTCTTCTCAGCCCTTTCCACCTTAATCTCTAGCTACCCTCTACCCCTGCACTATCCACTGCCCCGCAATACCTCATAACCTAATAATCATCCTTTCCTTCTTCCTACCCATTACCCCTGCATCCTTCCCTGCCCTGCTGTGCTGTATAACCCTTGTGGTTTAGCACTCTTTCTGATTATAATAATAATTTGAGAATACCATTAAGTGGCTTGTAGCTCACTGATAGCATCTTCAGCTTACAACCAAAAATCCTGGGTTTGATCCAGCGGTGGGAGATGTTTCTCTATACCTGATTAAGGGTTAAGTATGTATCTGGGTTCTAGCTTGCAGTTGTGGATCATGTCCCAGGGAGGATAACAGCTCTTAGCCTGTAAATTCAGATGTACAGTGGAACCCCGAGTTTCAGCCATAATCCATTCCAGGACCTAGGCCTAACTCGAAATGGCCGAAAGTCGAAGCAATATTTCCCATAAGAAATAATGTAAATACAATTAATCCGTTCCAGACCCACAAAAATATTCACAAAAAATACATTTTTTAAATAACTATAGTTTAACATGCATATAGTACTTAAAACATACATATAGTACTTAAATGAGTAGTAAAGTACACAAATGAACATTTAAAATCACATTTATGTACCTTTATTGAAGAGCCTTGCTGGCATCTGGAAGATAGGGAGGAGGAGAGAGGGAGGACTTATTATTTGGAAAGGGAATCTCCTTCCATAAAAACTTCAGGTAACAAGTTCTTATCTGAGGTTACTTCCCTTCTTTGTCTTTTAATGCCACTAGGACCAGCTTGAGAGTCACTGGACCCCTGTCACACAAAATAACTTTCAAGAGTGCTCTGTTTCTGGCATCTCCTTTGTCCCTGAAATGGGACAAAGTTTTGTCACTGAACATGTTACAGATATGGCTTATTTCAGTTTGGTCAGGGTGATACTTTTCAACATCATTCCACTTTGCACACATGTCCTTAATCACTGAAGAAGGCACCTCCTTCACTCCCTCTTCCTCCTCCTCTGAAGCAAGTTCTGATTCTGTTCCAGTTGAAGCTCTTGCAGTTCGTCAGTGGTTAGCTCTTCCCTGTGGTCCTCCATCAAATCTTCCATAGCCTTGCCACTCACATCCAACCTCATGGACTTGCCCAGTGCCACAATACCTTCCAAAACAGGCAGAGGGTTGGCAGGGTCAGGGTCAGCCTCAAACCCTTCAAAATCTCTCTGGAGGACACATTGTGGCCACAATTGTCTCCAAGCAGAGTTCAAAGTCCTGGAAGTCACTCCCTCCTAGGCCTTACCTATAAGGCTTATGCAGTTGTAGATACTGAAGTTATTCCTCCAGAACTCTCTTAGGGTCAATTCAGTGTCCGAGGTCACTTCAAAGCACGTTTCAAACACTGCTTTTGTGTAGTCTTTTTTGAAGTTGGAAATGACCTGCTGGTCCATGGGCTGGATGAGAGGAGTGGTGTTAGGAGGCAAAAATTTCAATGTTATAAAACTGAAGTCCCTAGGCAAGAGGTCTACCAAGTTTGGAGGATGAACAGGAGCATTGTCCGTTACCAGGAGGCACTCGAGTGCCTCCTGGTAATGGACATTTTTTTCACTTGGGCCAAACACTTCATGGACCTATTCTTTGAAAATTTGCCTCTTGACCATGCCTTATGATTAGCTCTCCACAACACACAATTTACTTTTGATGACATTGTTTTTCTTGAACACCCTGAGATTTTCTGAGTGATGCACCAGTAAAGGCTTCACTTTAGAATCCCCACTAGCATTAGCACAGAACAAAAGAGTTAGCCTGTCTTTCATAGGCTTGTGTCCTGGCAGTGCCTTTTCCTCCTGAGTAATGTAGGTCCTCTTTGGCATTTTCTTCCAAAAGAGGCCTGTTTTGTCATAATTTAACGATTGTTGGGGTTTGAATTCTTCAGTCTCTATGTACCCCTTGAATTCACGCACATATTTTTCAGCCACCAATTTGTCAGAACTGGCAGCCTCACCATGCCTTACAACACTGTATGCCAGTATGCTTCTTAAATTTGTCAAACCAGCCTCTGTTGGCCTTAAATTCACTAACAGCACTGGTTCCAGGCATTTTCTTTACAAGATCGGCATGCAGTTGCCTTGCCTATCACCCGCTGTCTGTTTATTGTTGATCCACACCACCACCAACTTCTCAACCTCTTCAACTGTTTGTGTTCTATTTTTGGTTAACGTGTCAACAGGTTTCGCAACATTAGCTTCCTCGAGTTCTTTTCTCTTCGCCAGGATAGAAGTGAATGTTGATTTTTTTGCCATACATCCTGGCAAGCTCGCCCACATGTAAGCCACTCGTATTTTTGTACTATCTCCTTCTTCATTTCTATGGTGTTCCTCACTTTCTTTACCAAAGGGCTGCCACTATGAAGTTTCTTTGGGCCCATGGTGGCTTATTTCACAGTCACAATCAATAAGCAAGCACCAAACACAATGAATTTATTGTGAAATGCTCAGATGAGCGCGCAGGGTAATGTTCACACAAGGATAAACAAAGCTAGACTGGCTCACGACGCCTGTGCGGGGAGATGCGCAGGCGTGGGCAGGCGGGCAGGTCTGGTACGCTGGCCGAAACACAGGGCAATGGCCAAAACTCGGGACAAAATTTAGCCGAAAAAAGTGGTCGAAACTCGAAGCGGCTGATACTCAGGGCGGCCAAAACTCGGGGTTCCACTGTACAAAAAAAATTGTTAGCTAAGTACAAGTACTGTTCTGTAATTGTAAGTTATGGCCTTATCTTCAGTTACTGTTACAGATACTGTACTTACATTACCCTTCAATGCCATGCCTTGTTGATGATGCTGGTCTCTTGATCCAAGAAGTAGGAGTTTCTCTTCCTCAGGCACTCTGTGACCTCTACGAGTTTACCGTTTCCTCAGGAACGTGATAATGATGTACTTATTGTTGTTTTGTTTTCTATTTACCAAAAAGCAAAATTTGCAAGATAAAATATTGATATTAGTAGACTAATATTGTTCCTTGCAGGTGTGGATGAAGTGGACTACAGTCTATATCCATGTGTAGATTTTCAGCACCAGTGGTTGCGAAGTTACCTCTCCCATTACCAGGAAATACCCGAAGACCAAGTAAATAATCTTGATGTGGAGGTTTGGTATGTTTGGGTGAACAAGTTTGCACTTGCTTCACATGTGTGGTGGGGTATATGGGCATTAATACAGGCCTATTATTCATCTATAGACTTTGATTTTCTTGGGTAAGTACAGTACTGATTGTTAGATTTACAATGAGGGTAACAATACAGAAACTAGTTTTAACATTAAAATTAAGATGAACATGGAAAATATAATATAGTGATCATTCATGATATATCTAGAGCTTTTATAGTCAAATAAAAAAATAAAGAAATTAATGGTTATTATGATGCATTATACAAATGATAAATTTTAACATGAATCTTGATTGAATGTATATAACTCTTTGATAGAACATAAGTTTAATATGGTAATGACTAAGAAAAATTGCTTGTAAATACAAATAAGAGTGTAGGTGTATGGTGACCCAAAAAGAAAGAAACACTTTCATTATCATTCAACACTTTTGCCATCATTCACATATGATCACTGACTTTGCAGAGGTACCCAGATATGACAGTTTAGATGTCACTCCAAACAGCCAATATACCAAACCTCTCCTTTAAAGTGCAGCCATTGTACTTTCCCATTTCCAGGAGTCAAGTTCAGCTAACCGGTTTTCCTGAATCACTTCACAAAATATTACCCTGCTCACACTCCAACAGCTCGCTGGGTCCCCAAAACCATTAGTCTCCATTCACTCCTATCTAACACACTCATACATGCCTGCTGCATGCCCAGGCCCCTTGCAATCAAAACTTTTTTGTTATAAATTGTATACAGTAGGGTCCCACTTATATGGCAGGTTAGGTTCCAGACTACCACCGAAAAGCAGACATTGCCGGAAAGCAGAACGCCATAAGCATAGCTTGATTAATGATACTCAGCATGGATTCACAAGAGGCCGGTCTTGTCTAACTAATTTATTAACTTTCTTCAGTAAAGCTTTTGAGGCTGTTGACCACAATAAAGAATTTGATATTATTTACTTAGATTTTAGTAAGGCTTTTGATAGAGTTCCGCACCATAGACTGTTAAAGAAAGTGGTAGCTCATGGCATTGGGGGAAAAGTGCTCTCGTGGATCGAGTCATGGCTCACTGACAGGAAGCAGAGAGTGTCCATAAATGGGGTTAAATCCGAGTGGGGATCTGTAACAAGTGGCGTTCCAGGGATCAGTCTTGGGCCCGTTGTTGTTTATAATATATATCAAGATCTTGATGGGGAATTACTAGTGATATGAGCAAATTCGCCGATGACACAAAGATAGGTAGGAAAATTGATTCAAAACGTAGATGTTATGGAACTTCAGGAGGATTTAAAAAAAACTCTATTCTTGGTCAAAAAGTGGCAATGCGTTCAATGTAGTTTAAAATGCAAGGTTCTGAAGCTTGGGAGTGCCCATAACCTAGTACTTATAAGTTAAATGATGTAGAATTAGCCATACAGATTGCGAAAAGGACTTGGGGGTTATGGTGAGCAGCAACCTTAAACCAAGACAGCAATGCCTAAGCTTACGTAATAAGGCAAATAGATTATGGGATTTATATCAAAAAGTGTAAGCAACAGAAGTCCAGAGGTCATACTGCAGCTTTATACTTTCATTAGTAAGGCCTCACCTAGATTATGCAGCTCAGTTCGGGTCTCCGTATTACAAAATGGACATAAATTCTTAGAAAACATTCAGCGTAGGATGACTAAATTAATACATAGCATTAGAAATTTTCCCTTATGAAAAAAGATTAAAGACTTTTAAAGTTACATTAACTTGTTAGACGAAGAATGAGGGGAGACCTGATCGAAGTGTATAAGTGGAAGATAGGTATTAATAAAGGGGATATTAATAGGGTCTTGAGGATGTCTCTCCAAGAGAAAAACCCGCAGAATGGATTTAAATTAGATAAGTTTAGATTTAGAAAGGACATAGGAAAGTATTGGTTTGGAAATAGGGTAGTTGATGAGTGGAACAGTCTACCTAGTTGGGTTATTGAGGCTGGGACTTTGGGTAGTTTCAAATCTAGGTTGGATAAGTACATGAGTGGGAGGGGTTGGATTTGAGTGGGACTTTCACATCAGAGCTTATTTCTTGGGTGGCATTGAAAATTGGGTTGGGCAAATGTTTTGTTAGTGAGATGAAATGTAAAGGACCTGCCTAGTATGGGCCAGCAGGCCTCCTGCAGTGTTCCTCCTTTCTTATGTTCTTATTTTTTTCCACTTATAAAGACAGCAACCACCCAGGGAGGTACTACCGTCCTGCCAAGTGAGTGTAAAACGAAAGCCTGTAATTGTTTTACATGATGGTAGGATTGCTGGTGTCTTTTGTCTGTCTCATAAACATGCAAGATTACAGGTATGTCTTGCTACTTCTACTTACACTTAGGTCACACTACACATACATGTAAACGTTTATCTATACACACTCATCTGAGTTTTCTTTGATTTTATCTTAATAGTTCTTGTTTCTTATTACTTTTCCTTTTATGTCCATGAGGAAGTAGAATAAGAATCTTTTCTCCGTAAGCCATGCGTGTTGTAAAAGTTAGCTAGTTGTGATGAATGGTTTGAAAAACCGACAAGTTGAAGATTGAGACACTTATGCAACATATGGGAATCTTTATTCAGCAGAAGCAGAAGGAGGCAGGGTCATAGTGGTACCAGCCACTAGTTGAAGTAGGTCTTCGTCCAAAGGTTGGACAAGTGTTGAAGAATTCTTTGTAACAAGATCCCATGATGCTGCAGTGTCTGACAGTTGTGATGAATGGTTTGAAAAACCGACAAGTTGAAGATTGAGACACTTATGCAACATATGGGAATCTTTATTCAGGAATAAAGATTTCCATATGTTGCATAAGTGTCTCAATCATCAAAAGTCAACTAAAATGCCGGGAACAATGGACTAGTAGCCCCTTTTCCTGTAATAATTACTAAAAAGAAGAAAATTTTCAAAGTGGGATGTCTGAATGTGCGTGGATGTTGTGCGAATGATGAGAAAGAGATGATTGTGGATGTTATGAATGAGAAGAAGCTAGATGTCCTGGCTTTAAGTGAAACAAAGCTGAAGGGGGCGGGAGAGTTTTAGTGGAGAGGAATAAATGGGATTCGGTTAGGGGTTTAAAATAGTTAGAGCTAAAGAAGGAGTGGCAATAATGTTGAAGGATAAGCTATGGCAGGAAAAGAGGGACTATAAATGTATTAATTAAAGGATTATGTTGAGTAAAATAAAGGTTGGATGTGAAAAGTGGGTTATAGTAAGCATATATACACCTGGAGAAGAGAGAAGTGTAGAGGAGAGAGAAAGAGATTTTGGGAAATGTTGAGTGAATGCATGGGGAATTTTGAACTAAGTGTAAGAGTACTTGTGGTTGGGGATTTCAATGCTAAAGTGGGGAAAAATGTTGTGGAGGGAGTAGTAGGTAAATTTGGGGTGCCAGGGGTAAATGAAAATGGGGAGCCTTTAATTGAGCTATGTGTAGAAAGAGGTTTGGTAATAAGTAATACATATTTTATGAAAAAGAGGATAAATATACAAGGTATGATATACCACATAATGAAAGTAGTTTGTTAGATTATGTATTGGTGGATAAAAGGTTGATGGTTAGGCTTCAGGATGTACATGTTTATAGAGAGAACTGATATATCGGATCATTATCTAGTTGTACCTACAGTTAAAGTAAGAGGTAGATGGGAAAAGAGGAAAATGGCAACAACAATTAAGAGGGAGGTGAAACTAACTGAGGAGGAAGTTCGGGTGAGATACAAGCAACTACTGGCAGAAAGGTGGGCTGGTGCAAGTATGAGTAGTGGGGAGGTTGAAGAGGGTTGGAATACTTGTAAAAATGCAGTATTAGAATGTAGGGCAGAAGTTTGTGGTTATAGGAGGGTGGGTGCAGGAGGAAAGAGGAGTGATTGGTGGAATGATGAAGTAAAGGGTGTGATAAAAGAGAAAAAGGTAACTTGTGAGAGGTTTTTACAAAGCAGAAGTGTTATAAGAAGAGTAGAGTATATGGAGAGTAAAAGAAAGGTGAAGAGAGTGGTAAGAGAGTGCAAAGGAGAGCAGATGATAGAGTAGGAAGAGGCACTGTCAAGAAATTTTAATGAAAATAAGAAAAAATTTTGGAGTGAGTTTAACAAGTTAGACAGCCTAGGGAACCAAATGGATTTGTCAGTTAAAAACAGGTAGGAGATTTTAGTAGTATGGGAAGATGGAGGTATTGGGTAGATGGCGAAAATATTTTGAGGAACTTTTAATGTTGAGGAAGAAAGGGAGGTGGTAATTTCATGCACTGGCAGGGGGTATCCCATCTTTTAGGAGTGAAGAAAAAGTTAGGTAAAAGTGGGGGGAGGTGCGTGAGGCATTATGTAGAATGAAAGGGGGTAAAGCAGCTGGAACTGATGGGATCATGACAGAAATGTTAAAAGCAGGGGGGATATTGTGTTGGAGTGGTTGGTATTTTTGTTTAATAAATTTGTTTAATAAATTGAGTGCTGGAAATAGGAAGTACAATGCCTGCACTCTAAAGGAGGGGTTTGGGATATTGGCAGTTTGGAGGGATATATTGTGTATTTTTATACATATATACTTCTAAACTGTAGGTAGTAGGTTGGTAGACACCAACCACCCAGGGAGGTACTACGTCCTGCCAAGTAAGTGTAAAACGAAAGCCTGTAATTGTTTTACATGATGGTAGGATTGCTGGTATCTTTTGTCTGTCTCATAAATATGCAAGATTACAGGTATGTCTTGCTACTTCTACTTACACTTAGGTCACACTACACATACATGTACACGTTTATTTATACACACTCATCTGAGTTTTCTTTGATTTTATCTTAATAATTCTTGGTCTTATTGCATTTCCTTTTATATCCATGAGGAAGTGGAATAAGAATTTTTCTTCCGTAAGCCATGCGTGTTGTAAAAGTCAACTAAAATGCCGAGAACAATGGGCTAGTAACCCCTTTTCCTGTAAAGATTACTAAAAAGAATAAGAAGAAAATTGTCAAAGTGGGAAGTCTGAATGTGCGTGAATGTTGTGCAAATGATAAGAAAGAGATGATTGTGGATGTTATGAATGAGAAGAAGCTGGATGTCCTGGCTTTAAGTGAAACAAAGCTGAAAGGGGTAGGGGGAGTTTCAGTGGGGGAGAATAAATGGG